AGTTTAACACTTTTCCATTCACACAGAGATAAAAAGTTGTAGAACAGAGAATAATATTTGTCTTGTTGGAGGTTTATAGGAACATTGTGACCAGACCTACCTAAACAGCTGCCAAGAACAAAAGATTCCAGCACCAAGAGGTCTGTAACAACCAACCAGGTGTCCTCCCCTTTTAGGACAGAAGAAGCCTGAGGGACTTCTCTGGCAGTCTAGCGGTCAACACAAGGGATAGGCATGGGTCTTAGCCCTTCAAGGAGCTAAGACCCCACACCCCATGTGGCACAGCCATAGACAATAAACACAGCCTCAATTCTAACTCCAGAGTGATGGTTCTTTGGGACACCAGTCCACCATCTTCTCAGTCTTCTGCCTTTCTGAAGAGAGTCGCCGTTTCCTGACCCAACAATTCATTTCTCAATTTTATTGGCCTGTTGTGCAGTGAGCCAGTAGGAGCTTGGTAACAGAAGGACTGGGAGTTCTAGCTCATGAGGAGAAGCCAGGAATAGCCCATGGGTGAGGTGTGAGGGTGGCCCAGGGTGGCTACCATGGCCTCTAGGTTGGTGCCAGGTGCAGAAGTTCAGCCCAGACAAAAGGAGACTTGTCCTCTGAGTGAGCACCACCCACACAAGGGGCTGCAGATGCTATAGCCAGAGGGCAGATGGAGGAGGGCTGGGGCAGAGGGAGGGTGGGGAGTGCAGCTGCAGGCCTGGGACTCAGGCTCTAGCAACACTGGGCCCCTCCTCCTCCCCATGCTCCCCACCCAACTCTCTCTCACCTGACCCGCCAACAGGACCCACTTTGCGGGAGACTTTGAGACCAGGGCTGCATGTGTAGCCTCGGGCTCTGCTCCACGGGCACTTGGGAACTGCCCAGCACCCTTTGGAAGGTGTTGACCAGGTGCTCAGGGGGATGGTCTGGGGGTTCAGATCTGGAACAGGGAGGCCCAGGGAGCTCTCACAGTTCGGGAGGAAAAGTCTTTCAAGTATAAAAGAAATTCTGTAGGGAATTCCCTGGTTGGCCTAGTGGTTAGGACTTGGTGTTTTTACTACTGGGACCAGATTCCATTCCTGGTTGGGGAACTAAGATCCAGCAAGCTGCATGGTGTGGCCAAAAAAAAAAAAAGAACAAACCCAAAAAAATCCCCTAAAAAACCATCAAAGGAACTCCCTAAGCGGTTCCCCACAGAAGTGGGGGAATCTGCCAGGAAGAGGGGCAGGGGTCTTCCCAGCATGACTTGAGATCCTGCCAGTCCCTCCAGAATCTTCCGGCTGCCTGGGCTGCTACCACAGGCCGCAGGGGGACGCTGCTCCCCCTTTTGTTACAGACAGTGTGGCTCAAGGCAGCCAGGATGGGCCCATATCTTAGGGAAGTGCCGGAAGGGGCAGCAGGGCCCCTGGAGGGAGGAGGACACCGCTTTATCACTCTGAGCTTGCTCTTGGCCACAGACAGGCTGCCCTCTGCTCCCTGAGTCCTCAGCCCTTGCCCCTCAGACGGGAGGGCCTGGTCCTGCCTGCAGCTAGCTGGTCCGGCTTCCCCCAGGTGAGCGGTCTGTGAGGGGGGCAGGGCCAGCCCAGCTGCCCTGATCCCGCCCTGCCCCCCACATCCCCCTCGTGTCTCCGAAGCAGGAGGCCCTTCAACCCACCGCCTCCCACTCTGGTTTCTCCTTCTAGCTCCTTGACTTCCCTCGAACTCTCCTACAACTGCACTCTGACCCTCCGCCCACCTCCTCTTCCTCTGGTTCTTCCTCGTTCCTGGTCCCTCTGGGCCTCCAGAGGGGCCCTCTCCCCTCTCCTCCCCTGCTATTATTAACCAGCCGTGTAAAGAGCTGCAGGGCTGGGCTGACGGATGGGCCCTCCTCTGCTTTGCTCTTCCTCAAGCCTCCCCTTGGTCCCCGCCCCTCCCCGGCCCTTTCTCCTCACCTCTCCCTCCACCATTCATTTTTATCATCGAGGAAGGACGTGGGCCTGCTGGGTAAGTGAGCGGAGAGGTGGGTTGGGGAGACAATCGGGAGGACAGGCAGCTCCTGCAGATAAGGATTTCTTGGACTCCCTCGGGAGTGCCCTACGAATGGGCAAATGCTCCTGATTCTTCTGTCCTTCCCTGTCCTCGACAGAGCAACGCCTGGAGTAGGGGGGTGGAAAGGCAGGGCAGTGTGGAAAACAGCTGGGGACTTAGTGCAGCCAGCGCTGAATTTGACTCAGCTCTGAGGGTGACTAGCTGCATGGGCAGGGTCAGCCTCAGTTTCTCCATCTGTAAAGCACAGATCACACTTTCTGCCTCGCAGTGCCTGGCGCTAAGTATAAGCTCAATAAATGTGGGCTCCTGTCCCCGCTGTCAGGGTGCCAGGTCACCCTTTGCCCTGAAATCCCTCCCCTGATTCTCAGATTCCACACGAAAGGTAACCCTTTCCTCCGTGCCCTCTTTATACCAGGCACACTCACACCCACAAAGTCATATCACCCCTCTTTTAGTAATTAGGAAAGCTGAAATGCAGCGGGGTTACCAGTGACCAGAGTATGAGCAGAAGGCTGAGGCAGAACCGAGGGATCTGAGCGCAGAGGGCCAGGATGGGCGAGCCAGCAGCAGCAGGTTGCTGGGAGGGAGTGGGCAAGAGTTTTGCTGAGAAACTCAACTGGGCAAGAGCTTCCAAGGGCCTGCATGGGGGCGAGTGAGAGCCCAGGCTCTGCACCTGCCCTGGTCACTTGCTGGGTGCCCTTGCGGAAGTCCCATTCCCTCTCTGAGCCTGTTTCCTCTTCCTCGTTTTGCAGGAATGGATGGGTGGGGGACCGAGATGGATTGCTGCTGTGTGAGGTCTGTCCCCTCCCCTGCAAGGGGACACAGCCTGGTACATAGAGGGCAGGGCTGCCATTTAAGGCTGTTCCTAGTGTAAAAATCTAGTCCTTGTTTTCTCCGCTCTTCATTTCCTCCCTCTTCCCCGCCCCCAGGCTGTCACTTGGGGCCTATAGTCAATGAGTCGTAAAATGAGAAAGTATCAGGAACTAGCAAAGCATAGACTGCAGCTGGGGCAGCCTTGGCGCTGCGTGTGATGGACTGCCGGCCCATCCTCCCGTGCTCGACTCAGGCCAGCCAGCCGGCAGTGAGCAACTCGCCCAGCCTGGTCCAAGGCCCCCAGCTGGGGAGCAGAGTGCAGAGGCCTATCTTCAATGGGTCCAAAGGCCACACCTTAAAATGAGTGATGATATCTCTGTGTACTGACTTGGGAAGATGCACCCAGAGGGACAGCTGAATCACAGAAGCAGGTTACATATTCTCACTATAAAGTGATCCTTTTATGTTCTTGTAGAAGATGAGAAAATGTGAGTGGACTCCAAACTGTGAATAGCCACTCTCTCTGGGAGTAAGATTTTAAGGGAATCATTCACTTTATACATTTTCCTTTGATAGGTTGTGATTTTGGACTGGGTCACATGGGTTGTGGGATCTCAGTTCCCCAGCCAGGGATGGAACCGGTGCATCCTGCAGTGTGCGTGCAGAGTCCTAACCACTGGACAATCAGGGAAGACCCTCTTTTGATAGGTTTTTAAAGCAAACTTGTATTGCTTTCCTGATTGTGAAAAATCAAGAGAACTTAATAATAAAGACATTTCCATTGTGAGGGAGAAGCCTTGGAAAAATATGCATGGGCTAATGAAATTGCTCCAGGTCTCTGCTGCAGGTTAGAATTTATATCATCCTGGGATGGGAAGGCTAGTAGACTCTTGCACTAGAGCCAAAATCAAAGTACAGAGTTTGATTTTTTTTCTTAAAGCGAAAATGAACAATCCCTTAATGAGACTTTTAAGGTCAAATCTGTCAAAATACGTGATTCTTAAAGCAAAGGGAGGGTAATGATGAATGAGGTCCTTGGGGTCCTCGGCATAAACCTGAACTCCAGTTGGTTGCTGGGAGTCAGAGTTGGGGCAGCCAGGACTGGGGGCTGCTCCCCAGCACCTCCCACAGCTTGAGCACACAGCCAGGTCAGCACTGTGGTCCAATCACTCCCGCACACAGCCACGAGCCACCCCTGTCAGAATGACTCTCTGGGATCTCCTGGCCCCTCGCCATCTGGCTTTCTCCTACAACCAAGCCCAGAATGTGTGGGTGTCCCCCTGTGTCAAGGACCCAGACTCCATGCTGCCAAGTAGGGGAAGGTAGTAAAGAGACTGGTGGGTTTCGGCCTACACAACATTGCAACAGATCTTTGAGGGTGGAGGGGCAGGGAAGGGGGCAGGGGGGCTGTGCAAGGTCACTCTGGCCGAGGGATTTCCTCAGTTCCCAGATGACCAATTCTATGTCCCCCTCCCGAGGAGTCAGCACAGGGCTGAGAGGTGCAGTTGACACAAGTTTATTGGTGGAGCTTCAGCGGAGTCTCCCTCTCTCTGGGACAGCCGAGGGCACAGCACCAACGGAAGGATGGACAGACAGAATTCCACATGGACACATGGATGGTGCAGACTCATAAAGATCACAGCACAGCCACGCAAGGCACAGAGACACACAGGCCACAGCACCAAGAAACACACACAGACACAGAACCACAGGGCTAGAACGTGTGGAAAAAGTGCGGGCTTTGGGGCTCCTGCATAGACAGAGCGAGGGCCACGTGGGGAGGGAGCCCCTGCTGACCTCCCCCAGGCAGAGGCACACGGACAACACACAGACAGGCAGATGCCCCCAGCCAGCCAGACTGCCACGCAGACACATGAACTGCACAGAAAGGACACTGGGGATTCCCCAGACCATGGGGAGCGGGGACCACAGGACTTCTACTCCCGCGACACTGCCACTGCACTGATTTCCCTGCTCAGCCTGACTCTGGCCCACTCCCCAACACACACACTTTGGTCTTGCCCACTGAGGCTGGGGGGGCAGGTGGCAGGTGGAAGCAGGGGAGAGGGGAAGGGTGCGGGCCCAGCTCCGTCCCTTCTCTGTGAGCAGGGAGGCAGGAGAGTCCAGGACAGAGCCTGGGCCTGGCAGTGGGGTGAGGCTGGGGCCAGGGCTCAGGCTTGGGGGGGCTCCTGGCAGCGCAGGCACTGGGCCATCTCGGGCTGGTATTGCTCAACCTGCAGGGTGCAGCTGGAGAATCCAAACCGGGAGTGGAGCCGGGATGTAGCTTCAGCCAGGACAGCTTCGGGGTCGGCCGCGGAGTCTGTGGGGTAGTGATAAGAAGCAGCGAGCTCCCAAGGGAGTGGGGAGCCAGACCGGGGTCCAGATAAGGATGGGTGAAGGGGGACCCAGGGGTTTTGCATGGCATGAAAGCCACGATTGAATGGGAGCTTTATTTTCTCTCTCTGTTGTATAAACAGTGTACAACTGTTCAAAGAAAAGGTTGGGGAGACTCATCCTTAACTGACTAGGCTAACAGGCTAAACTGTCCTTATTTTGCTATTCGCTTCTTCTCTTTGGGTGTCAGTGTACAGCTGTGTATTTCAGCAGCCACACCACCCGATTTTCCACAACGATCCAGATGTCAAATATTCTGTTCCCATTGTTCCTCTAGAGTTACCATCAAATATCCTACAGAGTATAATATTTTTGGCATCCAAATTGCAAGTCTCTGATTGCTTCTTGCATCTGGAAGAAACTCAAAAATCCTTTGTCAGCTTGTGAGTCACCCTATATATTTTAAATAGTTGAATCATAATGTGGTTATAATTTTATATTCAGCTTTCTCTCTTAGCATTATACCATAAACATTTTTCCTAGTTGCCATACAATGTTCATAATCATCATTTTTAAAAGTTACGTGGACCGGAGGAGCCACAATTTACCTTGCTATGCCCCATCACTTAGACCTGTGGGTACCAGTGATCTTTTAAAGGGTTGCTGGTGCCCTATACTACTTTAAAGAGGGTGAAACCTCCCCCAGAACACTCTGTCTAGGGCTCCAACATGCATGAGAGAGAGAGATACAAAAGACAGAGCTAGAGGTCGAGAAAGCCAGAGAGATGGGAACAGTCCCAGTAATTCAGACCAGCTTCCTATGTTTGGAGGGTGGGAGGGGAAAGGAGAAATGTTTCTGGGAAGTAACTGGCTGGGGCTAGTGTGGACTCACCAATGGCCAGGTGTGCAGAGGCAACGTAGTGCGTGAACGTCAGGGACCACAGGTGCAGCTCATGGGTTGCCCGGACTCCCGGCACCGACAACAAGGTGTCCCGCACAGGTTCAAAGCCCACACTTCGGGGAGTCCCTGCAAGTAGCACCCACCACGCCTACTGCCAAAGCTGCTCCTGCCCAGAGGTCAGGACCCCACCTCCCCATCCTGTACGACTCACCCTGTAGATCCCCCCCACAGTTCACCCCATCCCTGAATCCTCCTTCCAGCAATAAGCCTTCTCCCCACACACTCTTCAGAGGAAACAGGGGCGCCTAGTCCTGGAGTGGAGTCAGGGAGGGCCCGGTGCGGGGGATGCAGGGAAGCAGCATCGTCGGACTCACCTTCCATGAGGACACGGAGAACATCTCGCAGGGTGGGAGCTGTGGATCCAAGGGCACAGATGGAGAAGAGGAAGGTGCTGATGGGGTCAGCTGCTTTGTACTGAGGCTGCAGAGAAAGAAAGCCCTAAGGGCCTGGGAATCAGGAACCTTTCAGGGGAAGATCTGGGGGCACCCTGGACAAACAGGACCTGAGAGGGGAAAGGGACCATAATCCTGGGCTAGGGGTCCTATGGAGCTGGGAGGGGGAGTAGAGTGGGGATGGGGACCCAGGGAAGGCAGGGCTGGGGTGTAGAGAGGCAAGCGGAAGGTTGGGGCAGGCTTGCACACATGGTACCTTGAAGTAAATGAGGATGGAGGCAATCAGCACCCCAAGGCTCTGCAGGAGGTCTCCCAGCACGTGCACAAAGGCCGCCCGGACACTGGTGTTCCCCAGGGGCAAGGACTCCCCGGACCCCTCCTCCAGCGGTGCATACTCTGCCCCGCTAGACCCGTGGCTGTGGGGAGGCCCAGCCTGGTGCAGCACAAAAGCCATTCTGAGGGGGAAGCAGAGCAGCTCAGCCCAGGTGGCCTGCTCCCAGCCTCCTCCACCCACTTCCACGCCCCCTCCTCTCACCTCCCAGGAGCCCTTTCTCCACCTGTTTTCTCCCTATTTTCCCAGTCCCCAGAAGAAAGCAACACTGTCCAAGAGAGACAAACAGAGCTGCCTGGAGGGAGGAATACTTGGTACTAGAGATGTAGATTCAGATCTTGGCCCTGCTACTGAAATTGCTACGTGCCCTGGGCAGGCAAGGCCCCTTGTCACCTCTCGTTATTTGTTTTGGCCACACCGCACAGCTTGCAGAATCTCAGCGCCCCGAATGGGTATCAAACCCCAGGCTCTTATCCATGAGAGCTGGAAGCCTAACCATTTGACCATCTCTCATTAACTGAATGCCAGGGGTGACACCATCTACCTCGTAGGGGTGGTTGTGTGCTTTAAATGGGACAACATTAATGATGGTCCCCAGCAGAGGGGCCAGTACCCAGCAGGCCTTTAGCCAAGTCTATTGACCCTGAATTTTAGGTCTCCACCCCAGCCCCTTCTCAGACATCCCCAAGGCAGCAAGGCGAGAATTGTGTGCATGTGCTGTGGGTCTGCTGGACGGAGAGAGCCTGCTCTCCCAGCCTGCAGGAGGACCCCTCGCCCCGCCTCCGACATGGTGCCTGCTCCATACTGGAACGTACAGCAGATTGGCACAGACCGCGATGCTGGCGGTCAGCAGCATGGCACCCCCCTCGATGTGGTAGTCGCTGTGCAGCAGGCGGATGAAGGCCAGGTACAGGAGGATGCCAGTGACCATCCAGAGGGAGACCACAGAGGCCAGAGCCCCCAGAGTCTCTGCAGGGGGAGACAATTTGTCAGAGAACGGCCCAGGACCCTGAGAGGTACCTTCTGACCAGGTCAAGGGGTCCTCAGGCCATGCAGGCGCCTTACCTGAGCGGTGCCAGCCAAAGGTCATGGTGCGGGTGGCTGGACGGGTAGAGAGCCAGAGGGAGAAGAGGCTGCCCATCATGCTGCCCACGTCTGCCAACAGGTGGGCCGCGTCAGTCATAATGGCCAGGCTGTGCGCCAAGTACCCACCTGCAAGGGTGAAGTGACGTATCATCTGGTTCCATTAAGCAAATATCATGCTGTGCGTGTGGAGGCATGGAAAAGAGATTGGGGGGGACATATACCAAAATGTGAATGGTGGTTTTTCTCTGGTGATGGGATCACACATCTTTTCACTCATTCGCGTTTTCTAGTTTTTCTACAATAAGAGATTATTTTAAAACATTCAGCTGCACCAGGTCCTACTGGCAGCACGCAGGATCTTCCATCTTTGTTGTGGCATGCAGGATCTTTAGCTGCAACATGTGGGCTCTGGTTCCCTGACAGGGATTGAGCCCAGGGCCCCTGCATTGGGAGCATGGAGTCTTAGCCACTGGACCACCAAGGGAGTCCCAACAATAACATGTTTTAATAAGAAGAAAATAGGCTTTTTAAAGGACCCGTTTGTACTGATAAGCAGTCCTGAGTCCCCCTGGTACTGCCTGTCCCTCACCCTCTCCTACTTCCTGAGTCCTGGGCACCCGGCTCCCCTGTCCCAGCCAACCCCATCTTGTCTGCATCTCCCCCCAGGAACTTAGGCAGGCGTCCTGAGGATGGAGTTGGAGGAGCTGCTCTCTAACTTACCAACCACCTCCCCAGCCATGAAGACACAGCACACAGCACAGGCGGTGCACAGCTGCCTCTGCGCCTGCATCCTCTCCGGGGTGAGACCCGGCTGTGGCAGCGGGTCCCGGTGGCAGTGGTGGAAGGACATCTCCGTGGGTTTGGGCTCCTCAGGGAGGGGCTCGGAGGCCTCTGTGAAGAGACTGAGGCAGGCAACGCAGTTCAATCTGGGGCCTGGCTCAAGGGCTCGCCTGCTCCTTCCTCACTCCTAGGTCCTGGGTCCCCTAGATTAGCTTCATCAGATGTCCCATCTCTCTCTCCTTTTCCAAGTCCTGGTCAAAACCAGGAGCCTTGTAGACAGAGGGCCACAGGAGAGATGGGGGCTAAACGGACGACTCGGATCACAGCCTCCGTTTTCCTTTCATATACAGAGCTGTAGAGTCTCACAGCACAAAGGAAAGCACCTTAAGAGTCTACCGCTTACTAAGGAATTACACGTACGAGGCTCAGAGAGGGAGGGAACTTATGGAGGCCACACAACCAGTTAGTGGTTGAGCTGAGATTCGACTCCAACCAAATCAAGTCATTATGATAGGCATCACGAGGAATACAAATGAACTGGGTATCCTTTCTAATCTCTGGGAGCCTTTGGTGAACAAGACAAATGTCTACCTAAGTACTATGAGATGTTTTAGCCTTTGACTTAGAGCAGCTAAAACAAAGTGCTATCAGGGCTCAGATAGTGGGATACACTGAATCTAATGAGGACACCAGGGAAACAACCGAAGGAGGCCCCAAGAAGGGCGTGGGCAGATGGAGAGGCTTTTGACAAAGAGGAGGTGCATATGCCGGTGAAGGCAGTATGATGGGGAAGTGGTGTGAAAGTGCCAGGTGGGGCTCAGACCTGGCCTCCTTCTGGACCTACCTCCGGGTGCCTCCATTCCCGGTCCTTCCACTTCCCTTTCTAGACATGCAACTGAATGTGGCCCTTTAAGAGAGGCGTAGAATGTGGGGACCCAAAAAGTCTGAAGTTCTTGGCACTGAGAATTACTGGCCAGATTCCAGAGCTGGGTTGTCATGGGGAGGAGACAGTGCAGACTGCTGTGGCTGGGGTGGCAGCCGCAAGAGCGCTGGGTTGGGAGTCTGTCATGCATTACCTGGACCTGTGGGACCATAAGCACCCAGCAGAGGCCGCCTTAACTGCACAGGACTGTAAGCCTCCCTGGATCCCTGAATGGGTGGGGGGGGGGGGCGGCCTCACCTCCAGCATCACCTGGGGATGTGAGAGGCTGAGCTCAGACTGACTGAATTTTTGGTCCATTCTGGCCTAATTCTCAACCCTGATACCACCCAACCTAAAGTCCGGGGGGTGGGTGGGTGGGGATGGAGAATAGAACCTTCTACAGCATAAAGGACCTAAGTAGAAAAGTACAGTCCTGGGAATTCTATGGAGGTGTGACAAGAAAAACCTTGAGAGAAGATGAAGGCTCCAGACGACAGAAAGGCAATCCCGGTAGTAAAGTGGGGAGGGGTGCCTGGGGGTCTTCTGGTTGAGGAAAGCTCTGCCAATGGGTGAATTTAGGTGGGAGGGAGGAGAGGGCACATTTGGTGCTTCTAGGGAAAAGTGGAGGGCTGGCAGGTAGATTAACTTCTTGGAATCCCCTTCTAAGACTTAGAATCTAGATGGGTATGATACAGGTGTGTTTCCAGAGGAGACAGGAGATGAGGGTGGCTTTGAAATCTGTCCTCATTCTTCAACAAGATATACCGGGCAGTGTACATGTACTAAAGCTCAGGCTGGTGGGAGACATGTGTCACAAGTGACCTACTCTGCAAGGAGAAGCTGGGGCCAGAAGGGTTATGAACAAAGGACTTCAGATCACAGGGGAAGGAGTGACCAGCTCTAATGGGAATAAGGAGAACCTCACAGAGGTAAACAATGGGGCTCCAGACATGTGGAATGACAATGACAAGATATGCAGCTTGGAGCTTAAGTGTGAGGAACCAAGGGAAGGACTGAGGAGGAAAGTGATGGGCTCAAAGGGACATAAAGGGAGATGCACTGAAGGATTTGATCTTTCCTGAGCCGTGAGATGAATGACCTTGCTGATGCATGAGTCTGGGAGGAAGAGAGGAGAGGAGATGGAGTGGTCCAGAGCAGACCAGGCCGGAGGCTCCCTGCGCAGAATTTTAGAGGAGGGGCAGGTAGGGAGGGAAGAACCTCTTTCAGAAAATACTGCAGGATTTGGTGACTAATGGTCATATGAGAATGAGGTGAAACTGGGAGTCAGAGATGCGGGTCTGAAGAGCAAACAGAGGGTGAGTGGCTTTGGGGCAGTGGGCAAGATGCCCTTCCTGGCCCAGGAAGACACAGTGCAGCCAGGCATCAAGGTAGTCAGCCATCAACAGGCTGCTCCCTTTTGTTTGGCATTAACTGGGCACTAAAGACGCCTCATTGTTGGTGTGTGGGTGGTAATGGGGCTACCTGCTGTTTAGGGAGAAGGAAAGACAATTCTCTCTCCCTGGCCCTCTGAAACCCCAGACAAGCGACAAATAATATTGAGTGGGGTAGAGGGGACAGGTAGAGGGGGGAGACTGTCTTGAAGCACAGTCAAAAGGGATGTGAAGACATGCTAGGGCCACGGCTGGAGCTCCCACAACTGCCGTCCTCCGTGGGAGGGATTCAGAAGGGGGTCTTCCCTCCCTTCTGCTCATCCACTCGCCCACCCATCCAGGTTTAAGGCCTCCACCCAGGGAAGGAGCGAGAAACACACAGAGGCACCGCATCAGAGACAAAGGGACACGGGTTGGGAGGGAAAAGGAGAGATGAGGAAAGAGAAAAGGCCGGAGACTGTCAAATTCCCGAGATAAACGGACGGTGGGCCAACAGACAAAAAGGCCGGCGGAGGTGACCAGGGAGGGCCCAGCGCGGCCGATCGGAGGGACAAGGCGGACGGAGCCGGCGGGACGCGGAGGCGGTTCTCCGGCCGCCCCCGGCCCGCTGTCCCGACTGCTCGGCGCGCCTCATTTCACACCTCGCCGCCCCCGGCCCCGTCTGTGCGGAGCCGGGAATACCCCCGCCGCCCAGACCGCACCTGCTCCTTCCTTACCGCCCCCTCGCTTCCCCGCGGCCGCCCGCCCCCCCAGGAGCCGGCAAGACCCGCTGCGGAGCCCGGGCCCATCCTCGGCCCGGGTGTCCACAGCAGGAGGCGGCTCCCCGAACCCGGGCGCTCGGAGGATAGGGCCGGGGGCCTGTAGATGGGACTCCGAGGGGCTCCCACTGCAGGGCCCCCGGAGCAATGGGTACATCGGGGTTCCCGGAGCGGACTCCGGCCCGACGGAGGGGCAGTCGCTCGCGGGGAAGGTCGAGGGACTTGGGGGGACGGGCCTGGGAGCAGTTTCTCTGGACCGGGAGGAGGGTGGCCGACAGGATCCAGAGCGGGGTGTCCACCTGCGGGGGCCGGGGCTGGCTGTGCGAGCTGGGGGCGTCTGCGCGGCCAGAGAGGCAGAGCCCGGCCGCCACGAAGCCAAGGGGGTCGCGGTGCGCTGGGAAGGCCAGCCGGCTGAGAGAGACAACGAAATAGACGGATAGCAGAAGGGTAGCGCCCCTCCTCGGCCGAGGGCCGACCCACATCGGTCCTACCTCTTCAAACGCAGGCTGCCACCAGCGCCGCCGCGGTCTCGGGGGCCCACCAGGCGAGTGGTCTCCGAGCCCCCCGTGGTGGGAGACGGCTCCATTTCTCCGCGGCCCCCGACCGTCTAAGCCCCACCGAGGGAGGAAGAGGCGTGGCGGGCCCCGCGCCAAGTCTTAGCGGCGGGCCGACCCCCAGACTCCCTGCAGGGCCGCGGGGCCACCAGAGTGAAGGCAACTGCGGCGGCTGTGGCGCTGGGATTCCGAACTGCGGCTCCCGCGGCTGCCGGAGCCCCGCCCCGCGTGGGGCGAGCTCCCCAAGCGCCGCCTCCAGGCTCCCCAGCCTCTACCCCCACACCTAAGCCCCGCCTCCGGGGCCCTGTCCCCATAGGCATGGCTCTATTTCCCGGCGCCAGAGCCAGGTGGGGCTGCGGGAGCGCTCTGAGCCCAGACCAGGTTCTAGAGAATGCTAATCTCCATAGCCCCGCCCCTAGGCTGACTAGTCCCGCCCTAACCCCGCCCACCAGTCCTAAACAGAGCTCCTCAAGCTTGGGGGGCTTCCTTGATGGCTCAGATACTAAAGAATCTGCCTGTAAGGCGGGAGACCTGGGTTCGACCCCTTGGTTGGGAAGCTTCCCCTGGAGGAGGGAACAGCTACCCACTCCAGTATTCTTGCCTGGAGAATCCCATGGACAGAGGAGCCAGGTAGGCTACAGTCCATGGGGTCACAGAGTCAGACACGACTGAGCAACTTTCACTTTCAAGTTTGGGGACCTCTCAACCAATCTTTGCCCAAGGAACACCGACTTGTGCAGGTCCACCACAGGGCATCTCAACCCCTCTCTCCACCATCCGTCACCTCGTGGCCCCAGCTCCCCACACACGGAGGCAGAAACAGGTGTGGAGGAGAGAACTAGAAGAAGGACGTGGGGTGAGCAGTATGGCAAATCGGGGAGAAGTCCAGGGACTCTGGCCAGACACCCCTCTGTGAAGCATGTGAGGTCGGAATTCGCGAGCAAAGTCTGCTGCCAAACACTGTACCGCTCATGATTTTTATACAGAGACATGGGGTGATAAAAAGTTTCCAACTCTCCTTCAGTCAGTTATTATCCCTATTTTTTCAGATGAGTAAACTGAGTCCCAGAGGAAGAGGTGTCCAAAGTCATGCGACCAGTGAATAAAGGACTGGAACTGGAGCCCCATCCTCTCTCCCTCCCGGGTCAGGGTGTCACACGGGCAACTGGACAGAGAGACTGGCCACAGTTGTGTCCCTCAGAGGCTGGGGTAGCCGGAGGGAAGAGCGCGCCACCTGTCAGTGGTCACAAGCCCCAAGTTCATGGAGGCAGCGCTCAGCTTGCCAGCAGGTGGATTCCTTACTTCCAAAGCTATAGCACCTTCCCAGGCATTACCTCATTTTGCCTCATTTAAACTAAAGCCCAGGGGAAGGAGAGGCTTACAGCGAGTCGGTGGCTGAGCTGGGAGTTAAAACTTCAAATGCACAATGTTCCCTGCCCCTCACACCTGCAGCCAATGTGGAATGAAAAGGGGATGGTGATAGATTGTGCACTCCAAGCTGCGACACTCTGTGAAGAGGAGGGTTCGTAGGAGGGGGGCAAAGAGTGAGCATGAATGCAGAAGGTGGAGGGTGGGAGTGGTTAGTTAGCCAAGGCAAGAAACCCATCAAACGCACCCTTCGGAATACACCGGACTTGTGAACACCCGTCAGAATGAATTTAGGGTTCTGGTGATAGACATCTAACCCCAACATTGTTTTTCCAGACGATGAGACTGCGTGTGCGCTTCCTAAAACAACAACAAAACTGGAGTACATGCCAGACTGAGTGGTTGGAAGAGATGGGGTTAACCCGGGAGAGCTTCGCGGAGGAGGTGAGGCTTGAACGGATTAGGCAAACTGGGCGGCGGGCTGGCTGTTCTGGCGGGGGAGACTGCGGCTCGTGCCAAGGTTTGCAGGCGGCGAGTGCCGAGGGATTGTACAGCGCTGGGAAGCGGTGCGGAACGGAAGCACTAAAGGGTCTGCGCGCGCCCTCGGCGCCGAGCCTCCACCCACGCCCTGCGCGGGGCCCGCGCCAGCCTCTCCACGCGCTCACCTCTCCCCAGCTCTCCGCGCGAGACCCAGCCCACAGTCCACACGCAGCAAGGGAGCGAGGGTGGGGTGGCTTTCTTCCCTCAATCTCTCCGAGAAGCATGGGGCCTCAGCTTCCTCTGTGGGTTATGGGGAGGCAAACTGAATCGGCGCGAGGGGAAGCCACCTTGTTCGTCCGTGTTATAATCAGGGTGCAACTCATGTCCTCGCTCTGGTCCCCAGGCACGTCCCGTCTGGCGCCGTCGGGTTTTTGTTGTTTGTTTGTTTGTTTGTTTGTTTGTTTGTTTGTTTGTTTTTGAAGCTCCGCACCGGGCCTGGGACCTGGCCAACTCTGAGACCCTTGGAGCGGGGACGCGGGGGCCACCGCTTCCTCCAGGGCTCGGATGCAGTAGCCTCTCCCGGAGCGGCCGGCGCCGGCGAGCTGGAAAATGGGCAGACACCGCGGGATCCTGTGCGGGACAGGGGCCGCTAGGCACGCCTCACGACAACGGGGACGTGATAATAACAACAATGGCTTCCTCTGATTTCCTTTCCTGGGCAGCCCCTGCATGGCTCAGCCCCATGGACAGCAGCCCCGGGTACCCGGGAGGGGGCGCAGACGCTGGCACGTGCTCACCCGCCACCCGGCAGGGAGCGAGAAGGCAGGAAGGGAAAGGGACGTCGGAGCAGATGGATCACAGAGCTGCCCTTCCCCTCGGCTCCCTGGCCTTGGAACATGCTGCCTGGGGAAGCTGAGTGCAACGGGTTGGGAGAATACCAACAGTTTCTTTTGCTTGGAAATTTATGCAAGAAAAGCTTGGCTTTGAAACAGACAGCTTGCACCTGTTTCTCAAGAAACCATCAAGTGGCCCTGTGAAAATCTTTGCAAAGTGTCTTCTTGAATGCTAGGTCTGAGGAAGACATTCTGCACCTGGACAGGAGATGGGGAGATTGTGCAGGAGTTAGGACAGTTTAGGGCTGGTGCCCTGTATGGAACACTTCATTTAACCTTCACTGAACATTAATTTCCTGCCATGAACCTTACTCTCCCACCTGGGGATTCCTGGTAAAAAAGATGAATGTGTTTTCTCCCCTCCTGGCTTTGACTTGATTTCTCTCTCTCTTTTTTTTTTAGTTCTACCATTTTATTGCTACCAACCCATCTCCCTCCACCCTCGTGCACACATGCTCAGTCATGTAATCCCATGGACTTCAGCCAGCCAGGCTCCTCTGTCCATGGACTTTTCCAGGCAAGAATACTGGAGTGGGTTGCCATTTCCTTCTCCATGACTTGATTTCTTTTCTGCAGTTTTGGGTTACTGATTTACCCACTCTTGATGCTCTTACTTCTTCCTCAGATACTAATTTTCCCTAAGGTGTGTCCTTAGGCTATTCTTAGTCCCAGAGGAGATGAGGCAGGGAGCCCTGGAGGTTCTCAAAAGAACAGGTCAGTGCCAGCTTCCAGAGCACATGGTGACAGAGCAGCTCAAAAGGGGGCTTCAGGGGGCCTCAGGCTGGACCAGTTCACATTGGGAGAGAAGAAGAGCAAAGCCCAGTGCTGAGGTCAGCATGTAGGCTGAGCCAGAGATCTCGGGCAAGATTTAGAGTCCAAGCCTTTGGGCAAGGGTTAATGTGTGAAAAGGCCAAGTCAAGCTGAAGGGTATATATAGAGGTGTTACCCCCAGAAAGCTTTTCCTAATCCCCCCACCCCCTGTCCCAGGTGGGTTACCTGCTCTTCCCTGGTGATCTCAAGGCCCCACTGTGCTTAGGTGCTGGGAGCACTCACCACATAATAACAAAATCATTTGTTTGTCTGTCTCTTCACTAGAGCATGAGCTCCCTGAAGATAGGTGTTGTCTTTCTCACCACTGTGTCCCCAGCTTGATACACAGTCCTCCGTAAAGCCATCCCAGAAAGGAAGAGCTGATTGTCAGAGGAAGCAGGATGGAGGAAGCAAGATTTAGTTGGAGATACAGAGGATGAAGGAAGGCTGCAGCTTAAATGTCACCTCCTCAAAGAAGCCTTCCCTGATTCTCCCAAACCAGGCTAGTGCAGGTTATACATTCTCATTGCATACTTCTTTTTCTTCCTTAGCACTTATCATACCATAATTAAATTGTTATTCAGGGATTATTTATTTCTTCACTTGGCTTCTAGGATGCCATAATCTAGTTTTCCTCTTATTTCATTGACTGCTTATTTTCAGTCTTCTTTGCTGGTTCCTCCTCATCTTCCCAACCTTTTAATGTTGGAATAGTCCAGGACTTGGTCACCCCCTTCTCTTACCTTTCTACACTCTGCCCCATGGAGATATCATCCAGTCTACAAGTTCTAAAGACTGCCTGGAAACAGCAAGTAACGAAGCTGTTGAAGCTTGGGGATGGGTACATGGAGGATCATTGGACTATTCTGTTTTTATGTGTTTGAAACTTTCTATTAAAAACAAACTTGAAAAAATAAGTGGCATCTTACATGATGATTCCCAGATCTCTCTCTCACTTGATCTCTGATCTCATATACCCAGGTCAACTTGACTTCTCCTCTTTAATGTCTAAAAGCATCTCAAGATTCATCTAAAACCAAGCTCCTGATCGTCACCCCATCCCAAACGTTCCCTTCTAGCAGTCCTCCCTGGGCAGAACATGGGAACTCATCCTTCCACTTGCACAGACCAGAAACCTTAGAATCATCCTTGACTTCTCTATTTTTACTCCACATCCAGTCTGCCGGCAAATCCTGCTCCCATCCTTGTCCAAACCACCATTGTTTGACTTCTTGATTATTGCAGTAGCCACCTAGTTGTCTTCCTTTTTTCTGCTTTTGTTGCCCTGTCATCTAGCCTCAATCCAGGCTAGTCAACTAGATCTATTTCCTCACTCTCCATCTCACTCAGTATCAGCCAAAGGGCTTCCACTGGCCCACAAAGCCCTATGCAGTCCAGTCCCTCTGATCTCATTTCATACTATTCCCACCTCAATCCCCAGCCACTCTGGCCTTTCTGCAGGTGGGTCCTACAACACACCAGATGTCGTCATCTACACTCTGCCAGATGTCTTCATGACTCACCTGAGGACCTACTTCAGGTCCTGACTTAAATATCACTTTTACAGGCCTTCTCTGCTTTTCTTTTTAAAAATTGTATTCTTCCCTCAAAAATTTTCCATCTCCATCCCCTGCTTTATATTTCTCTATAGTGATGATTACCACCCAACATCCTGAATATTTTACTTGTTTACTGTCTATCTCCTCTCATCAGAATTTAAGCTACATGATGTCAGAAATTTTTGTCTGTTTTGTATACTGCTATATCCCCAGTACCTAGAAGAGTATCTGGCACCTGATAGCACCTAATAAATATTTGATGAAGATATTAATGAATGTCTATCTTCCACAATAAGCTATAATCTATGAAAACTGATTATCATTGTATCTAAGGTACTAGGCATAGAGTAATGCTATATAGGTTTTGTTGAGTAAGTGAACTGATTAATTAAAAGGACAGTTCATGAGGAGAACTGGTGTGAGGGCAATGGTATAGAGGATAGAAAGAACAGGTAGGGAGAAAAGACTGATGGTTACAGAAGGTTTAAGGCAATAGCACACAATGCGTTTGGATGGGCAACTTGGTAGCAAATCGTAGAGTTAATTGCCATAATTTATAGACTTCTTTTTTTGTTGTTGTTGTTTCTTTTTTTTTTATTTTGCTTAGAAGAGTTCTTTATTCCTAATCAAAGGAGTTGACACCTGCTCATGTTCACTGCTATCCTTCCTTAGTGGGGAAGAACTCTGCCAGTGAATGTAACTTGGACAGCAATTTTAAAATGAAAATGATTTGATTCCTTAGAGGGGCAACAGGATGCATGCTTATGTATAGTGATAGCTTGGTAGGAAGAGTGGGGCAATATGAGAGGTGAAGGAGAAATCTGACAATATCTTCAATTCTCTTACTTGGTGCTAGATTAAATGAAACAAGTCATTGTGTAAGCTGTTACCAACTGCCTTTGGAAATTTGGCCCATTTTATTCCAGGTACTGAAAATACAGATGCTACCAAGTGATTCTTATGTTCTTGTGGGGGAAAAAACCTGACTTTTCTTTGATTTTTAAAAGTTCAGTATTGATCTTTCAAAAATGTACTGAAGCTTTTAAAAAGGATTATGGTAAACATTCACATAACTGCTTTATTTGAATGTTAGTATGTACATTCTAAAAATGTTGGGTACTGATTATCCAGTGTATCAGTGAATTAGCATTAAATGAAAATTCAGAGCTGTGGATATTACTTGGTCTTTGGTAACTCACAGGGCCCACTCTTAACTCACCTTCCCTTTATTGCCCCCATGTCTCATTGGCTTCTGAGTTAGTCTCTGCTTTCTAATAATTGTCTTAGAACAGTTTTACATATATAGGTTGGTTTCATTTTACCCTTTGTTTCCTGCTGCAGTATTGCAGCCATCCTGGCATATAGACTTCTGTATTTATTTATTTGGCTGCACTAGGTCTTAGTTGCAGTACAAAGAATCTTCGATCTTCATTGGGGCATGCAGGATCTTTTAGTTGTGGCAGGTAGAATCTAGTTTCCTGACCAGGCCCCTGCATTGGGAGCTCAGGGCCCTAGTCAATGGACCACCAGGGAAGTTCCCATTGTCATATTTAAAGGGTTGTTTTCCACCCTGTAGGCTATGAACAAAGGAGTAGTAATGACGGAGGCACTGCTTTACAAACAAAGATCTGGTAGCAGTATGTATCATGAGACTGGCAGTAGCAAGAACAGTTAGGAGGCTAGAACAGCAGTTAGTGTGACATGGAAACCCTCTAACTGAGGTGCAACAAGGTTGTGGAAGCTGAAAAGAAGAAAAAAATTAGAGAGTAATTTTGAAAAAAGAAATTATTAAGAACTGGGCTTCCCGGATGGCTCAGCGGTAAAGAATCTACCTGCCAATGCAGGAGACTTGGGTTTGATCCCTAGTTTGGAAAGATCCAACATGCTGCGGAGAAACTAAGCCCGTGGGCCACAGCTACTGAGCCTGTGCTTTAGAGCCTGGAAGCCACAACTATTGAGCCCCTATACCACAACTACTGAAGCTCGAGGGCCCTAGAGCCAGGGCTCTGCAACAAGAGAAGCCTCTCCAACGAGAAGCACTCACACTGCAACTAGAGAGCAGCCCTGCTCACTGTAACTAGAGAAAAGCCTACACAGCAACGAAGACCCAGCACAGCCAAAAATAAATAAATAAAAATTGTAAAACAAACAAACAGAAAAAAGAAATGAGTAAGAATTTTTGGCCTGAATTTGGGGAAATAATGGTCCACAGCCCACTGATGTTTGGGTTTTGAGCAGCATTATCTTGGAAAGAGTCGTAACATTACTGCAAATGGAGAAAGCAAGAGCAACAACCAATCTGGGGGCAAGGTCATGAGCTCAGGTTGCAGAGTGTGGTTTTGAGGCAATGGAAAACTGGTGTGTGGACGGCTCTAAGGTGAGCTAAAACAGAGCAGTACCAGCTAAAGCCACACCCATAGACTGCATCTCTGAAGTAGACAGGAAAGAGCAGAAGCAGGAGCTTAAGGACCAAACCATACAGAATACCCACAATCAGGACATGAAGGGAGAGGAGCCAGCAAAGGCGACAGGAAACTTATTGGAGATGGAGGAGGAGACTCAGAACAACTCGAGAGTTGAAACAACCCCAGAGTTGAAAAGACATGAAATTGGTAGAGTTGAACAGAAAGAAGTGATTTAAGGCCCAAAGTCACCTCCCCAAATATAGCCTGATATTTTTCACTTCATTCAGTCACACTGACTGAAACTCTGCCAGTTATTCCTTTTGTGTTCATCAGAATTAAGGAGGTGAGGTTCTAATAGTTGCTCTCATTGTATGCTGAATTACAGGGTTTTAATCAAATTGCTTCCCACCTAACCCTTCGGGATGAGATCATTTTAGGGAGGTGATCGGTTTTATTAGAAACATTTAAAGGAGAGGAAGTGAGAGGGGTAATTTTGGAGTTTTGACTGCTTGGGGAATACTGTGACACTGTGTGGGATATTTTGGATAGCCAGAGGGCAATGGGTAGAAGAATGAGAAAATAGAGTTCTGAGAGGCTGAGAAAGAATGTAGAAAGGGAATGGAAGGATCCCAATGGCAATTTCCAAATCTTCTCAGAGGGAGGATCTTGATTTACCCCTTATTCCCAGAGACAGAATGAAAAGCAATTTCTCTCTTTACAAAATTGGGAGAAGACAGAATAGAAAGTACGACAATGATGATGACGACGATGATATAGCACTTACCACGTGCCAAGCATTGTTCAAATTAAATGTTTAATCTTCCTAACAACCCTAAGAGGCAGACTATTATCTCCATTTTACAGGTAAGGCAGGTGTGCCCTGTTAGTGTGAAAGTGAAAGTGTTAGTCTCTCAGTCATCCAACTCTTTGCAACCCCATGGACTGTAGCCCACCAGGCTCCTCTGTCTATGTGCCCTGTTAGCCTGCCCTTATGTCTGCAGAGTCTGGGGCTGCAGGGCAGAGAGCATAGGGGTATAAGGCAGCTTCTCCAGTTGGAAGCCCTCCACCTCCCACCATGAGATGCTGGGAGGATGGGAGATGGCCCTGGGGAGGACCAGCAAACAAACTGGGCCAAAGGTGTTTTCAGTCACATGTAGTACATATGCCTTCAACTGGGCGGAGTGAAAGCAGTTCACTTTAACACCATCATGAAAGCAAGTGAGTATCAACTACAACTTTGGTCCGTTTCTACACCTAGATTTTAAAGTGGGGAGGGAGCTGGTGTGTATAAAGAGCCGACATGGTATACGCACTGAACTTGGAGTCAGAAGACAGGTCTAGAACTCACAGATTGACCTTGTACAGGTTAATCCTCTCTGGGCCACACTTCTCTCATTAAAAAATCAAGGCATTGGTTAAGAGTTAAGTCTCTGAGGTCCCTTCCAGCTCAAAATTTGTACAATTCTAGAACCTGGGAATTGGGTATGATAAAGTACGATCTCTCTCTCCCACCACATATGTTCAAGAGCATGATATTTTGGGTATAAATATGCCAATGTGTGCTGTCTGTATGTGTATATTCCAGCTATATGACTAAAACTTCAGTTGTTTGTGGGTAAATAAGGGATGCTTCTTGGTTTTCTCCAGGAAAGACCACATGGCTCTATGAGGTAGTAAATTTCTGAGATCATTGACTCAAGATATGATGGGAGGGCAAATGATTTCAAAACAATTTGAGTCTGTCATCATCCTTTAGCAGTTATTTAAATTGTTTCCATTACTTTGACAACCAAATTTAACTTAGTCTTGATCTCAACCCTGTGAAACAGAAGAGGGAAGAGACTCAGAGATTGAGTGACTTGTCCAAAATCACACAGCCTTTTAGAGCCAGAGCCAAAACGAAGACCTAGGGCTTCAGACTCCTGTCTTAAGTGTTCTTCCTAGTTCTGTGCTGGGTGTTAGAAGAGACCCCGTGCATAGAAAAGAGAGTCGAAAGGGCTCTGTTTCTAGGGGAGGGCCCCTGGCCGGAGAGTGCCAGACCAGCCTGACTGCTCTGTTCCCATCTCTGCAGCCTGATGGCTGCCGTGTCATCTCCTTGAGAGCAGAGGGCTTAAAGATAATGGCTATTTCAAGAGCCACAAACTATGATTAGAATTAATTAGAATGTCAGAGGGCAGTGATAAGAAGTAATAACATTCTGCAGCCTCTGACAAGATGTGAAAGATGTTTACTAACTCTTCTCTGAACCCAATTTATCCTCTTTCTCAGGCTCGCTTTATAAAGCAGGGATGTAATCACACCACCTCCCAGGGTTATGAGGATCAAAGGAGACAATAAGGTAAAAGTGCTTTTGAAAAGATACACAAGTGTGTTTGTTCATTCAATTTAACCAACATTTATTGAGCATCTACAATATTCCAGAAGCTATGTTAAGAACTGGAGGAAAACTAAGACAAACAAGAAACAAGGAGCCCAGAATTGCCATTACTCTCTCTCCTAATGCTTCTGTCTCTTTACCCCTCATGTGTCTGTCTTGTTGTCTCAGGCTGTATGAGGAAAGGCTGACTCTGAGTCCTGTCCAATTCTCCAGCTAAGCGTTTCTGTCCCAGGGAATTCTTGCTATGGCCCAAACTCTGGACCTCCATTGGACCAGCAGAGGTCTCCCTCTGCTATTGCTCATTCAGCAAATCATTCATTCACTTATTATGAGCAGGCATGGTTCCAGGTGTTGGGGACACAATGGTGAACAAATGGACAAGGTCTTGCCCTCATGGAGCTCACTGTCTACTGGTGAAGGCAGACCTTAAACAAATAAATATATACTCACAAATTATGGTGAGAGTATTTTGAGATGGGGAGAGAGAAGTGGAACTCAATTTAGAAGGACTCTCCAAGGAGGCATGAAGCTGAGAGCCACAAAGGATGAGAAGTCAGCCATGCACGTAGCCTGGGGAGGAGTCCTCCATACAGAGGAGGGGGAAGGGACACAGTGTCTTCAAAGAACTGACAGAAAAGTGGTGCAGTGGAGACCTGATCAAGCAAGACAGGGTACTCATGGAGCTGGAGGGAGAGGCAGGGGCCAGACCACACTGGGCCTGTAGACAGAGAAGGAGTTCGAGCGAGTACAGTGAACTTCCAGTGCCTTCTGCTCTCTTAAACGACTCGGGCTGTTCTACTAGTTCTGTCATCCCATGACGGTGACAAAAAGCTGAAGGTTAGTTAGAGAACAAACCATCAAAAAATTGCCAACTTTATCAATGTTATGTGCCAGCCTGGATGGGAGGGGGACTTGGGGGAGGATGGATACACTTACATGTATGGTTGAGTCCCTCTGTTGTTCTCCTGAAACTACCACAACACTGTTAGTCAGTTATACCCCAATACAAAATGTTTTTAGTGTTAAAAAAATTTAAATAAAAAAAATTAACAACAGTAATAAAATAGAACAATATATTGAAACAATATACTATAGTAAAAAAAAAAATTGTCAACTTTAGCTCCTTTACTTTGGGTGACTAACCTCTAATCTCATCTAACCCAGAACGTATGAACTGGTGCGTGATACCAAAGGTGCCAAAGGTGCCGAAGGTGCCAGGAGCCAACACACGAGAGTCTACCCATGACAAGGTCACAAGGGGAAAGCCTGACAGGCAAGGCAGATCAGGTTTTCAGGGATTTCAAAAAGCTGCCCCCCGGCGGTCACCTTAAAGATTATATCTGTCTTTCTGATGCTTGCTTCAATAGACTACTCCCTAATTTCTGTGACACAGGCAGAAGGCCTTCCCCGATCTCTTCCCAAATAAGAATCCATTTAGAACTTTAATCAATAAGTTTCCCGGGTGGTGGTATTTTATGAGATTATCCAGGGTGAAAGGAGTGTTTTAATTTAAACTCCTTTGCTGGTATTTTAGTTTGTTTGGCAAATGCGCTATGCCCTTGGTACTAATATGCATGACTGCTTATAATACCCTAATCACAAAACAGCATAAAGAACCTGATCATATAAAGGCCCTAATGGACATAGAGCCCTTCGGGGAGTGAGGAAGCCCTATTAGGAAACACAAGAAAAATTATTCTAAAAGTGGCTATTGGGTTAACATTTGCTTGCTGTGTTTTTGCTCTTAATGTGCTAAGGTTGTGTTATAGAAACCATTGTTAATATAGATCTAGAAAAATAAGAGCTTAGCCCTAGTGTGGTAACAATGAGATGGTTGTTAATTGTCAGCCAGGAGTGCTAGGCAGGGGCTGCCTCACCAAAGTCACAGAGTCAATGTGGGGTAAACTTCTTAGATAAATGTAACTGACAACTTTTGCAGAAGGATTAATTTTTATATTAACAAGGTTATACTTCTACGCTGTACTGTTGCCCTATGAGACCTTTCAGTTAAGGTCACCATAGAAACGGAAAATAGGTTTACATTCACCTGACCTGCATAAAATGTTAATGGACCCCAACGCCAGAAGATAATGTACAAGACCCTCATAAACAAAGAAGTATGCAGAAAACACCCTGGTTTCGTGAAGAACAAGCTGATGTAATGTTAAACTATCTTCCCCTTAGAGATGTACTAACTTAGGTTATAAAAGCCACGGTAAAAAATAAAGCATTGCCAGACCCTGCCAGACTCTGCTGCACCCCTCATCTGGTCTCTCTCTCTCTCTCTCTCTCTCTCTTTCTCTCTCCCTCACAGACTTGGCCCTATCAAGGCTGGTCTCACGTGTCTTCTCTCTCTCTCTCGTCGATGCTGTTCATCCTGAGGGTACCCCCTGGATCCTGCCGAGGCTGGACCTCAGCACAAAGGTTTTCATCCCCACCCCTACACTGATCACAGATGTACAGAAATAAATTAATCTAGTGGTCATTGTGCATGTTGAACATGGACTCTTTAGTTTGCTCAGATGACTCACATCTTTGGCGTGCAAGTGAATCCAGTGCAACCAGCACAATGACCACTGGATTAATATCTGTAGAAGAGGTGGTAAATGTGCATAAATAACAGTAATAAAAGCCAAAAGACAGGTAACAGAGATAGTACTGAAACAATAAAGTTCTCTCAGTTACACATTACAGGTACCATTGGGTGTTCCTTAGTTATGAAAACCAATATCATGAAATAGTAAACTACAGGTATGCAAGCCTGTCAGAGATTACAGGAAGTGAGGCCAAGCACCCATAGGTGCCCTCATGCCCTGCAAGTGGCATGTAAATTAGTTAGGGAGATAAACTGGTACTTTTGGTAACCTTCTGGAAAGAAAGTTAGTGATACGGATCAAAAGCCCCCCAAAAAATTCGCTTTGACCCAATAATTCCACTTCCAGAAATCTACACCAAAGAAAAAAAAGATTTTCTTAAAGATTAAAGATAAGAATTTTCATAAGGTCATTATACTATTAATATCAAGATTAGAAACAATCATCCAATCTGGATTATGTAATTATATTATGGTACATCCTCCTAATGTAATAGCATTTAAATGAAGTTTCTGAAGAACAGGCATGATTTTGGAAATGTTCAAGACATCATTTTAAAGGAAGATGCAAGGTAAATTACAATACGATAGGATAAATGCTTTCATAGAGGAAGGTGGGAACAATTGAGGGAATGAAGGAAAGCTTCTTAGGAATACTGACATTTGATGTAGGTCTTAAAACATGTGTAGGAGTTTCCCGTGGACTGGAAAAGAAAAAGGACCAAGTGGCGACCTCTAAATTCTGTGAAAGAAGATTAGGAAGGCAATACACCTCTTGAGAAAGGTTCGCAGCAACCACACAGCTCATACAGCCACGGTCTGCAAGCCCTGTTATCTTTCCTTAAGTGAGTCGATGAGTCATGTTCCCGATCAGGATGAATGATTCCCCCTCCCACGGGAGAAGGGACGCCCCTGGAGGCTGCACCCGCGGGTGGGGCAGAAACTGACACCCCACAGCCTTTGGCCGCGGGCACCGGGCAGATCCCTACGCTCAGGCTTCCGCGAGCGAAATAAGTCCCACCCCAGCCCCCACCAAGACCTACCCGCAGCACCAAAAAGTGACCCGTAGTGTTGACGCAGTGCGCAGGCTCAGTCGGCCACTGGACCGCTGCCGTGTGAAGTTTCACACCTTCATGGAGGTTGCGTGAGGCCTCCCGGCTGAATAGAGCGACTATGAGGTAGATGCCAAGCCGGATGAGGGGTCCACACAGAGCCAGAGGGGACCTGAGGAACCAGAGCCTTCCCTTCTGAGCTGTCGCCTTCGTTTTCCCAGACCACGGTCTCCCAGGCTCTCTCCCACTCTCTGGGGTCCTGCTTCCTGCTACCTCTCTGGTCAGCCCCAACAGCTCCCGGTTTTCACTTCTTCCTTCATCCCTTGAGTCATCTCCCTGTTCTCCCCGAGAGACAGGGGTGGGCTGGTTTGAGAGGGGAGGATAGGAGGTAGAAAGTGCCTGGCCTAGGTGCAGGCACTGCCTTCCGCCCTGGTTTCTAGATGCCTGGCTTCTCTTAGGCAGCTCATGATTTGGTCTGACTTGTTCTTCCCTTGGGGACTGTGGATCGCCAGGATTCCCCACCCAGCCTGTTCCGAGACTGGGATCCTGCTGGGCTTTCAGACCCAACAAGGACTTGGACAGGCTCAGGACTCCTCCTGTACAGTCCTTGTAGCTCTGGACAAAATGGATCTTTTTGCAGGGTTTAGACCTCCTCTTACTTCGCCTCTGTAGAATGTGGGGTGTCTGGAGCTCTGTGTATCTGATGGACACTGGGGAAGCTGAGGAGAAGACGTTTCCTCTGTAAAATTTGAATTCAAATGTCTTGTCACCTGTGCTTTCCTGCTAGTCACAGGTGCCACTCACCGTTGTCTGATATTTGTCCCATGGTAGCCACTTTCCTGCCTCGCCTCTGAAGGTGATGAGTTTCCTGTCACCGGAAGTTAACTTCTCTGTGGCCCCTACCCCTGGAGGTTTTCACAAACACTTCCCCTCCTTCCACCCAGATCATGGCTCATGTGGACGAGGCCGCCCGCCGGTTGTCCAAATCTGGGTCAACCCTCTATGCAGTGCTGGAGCTTAAGAAGGGCGCCTCACCTGAAGACGTCAAGAAGGCCTACAGGTTCAGACATCAGCCCCTTATTAAATCTCACAATTCTCCCTTTTAAGCCCTTTTCCTTCTACCTTGCTTTCTGACCCTTTTTAAAAAAAAATATTTATTTATTTGGCTGCATCAGGTCTTTGTTGTGGCATGTAGGATCTTTCATTGTGGCGTGCAGGCTCTAGAAGGCACTGGCTTAGTTGCCCTGTGCCATGTGGGATCTTAGTTCCCTGACCAGGGATCAAACCCACATCCTCTGCATTGGAAAGCAGATTCTTAACCACTAGATCACCAGGGAAGTCCCCTGACCCAATTTTTAAATCCCCAGACCTCCACTTTGGGGCCAGATGGGGCCATCATCCTCTTTCGTGTGAAGGAATATAGACTTGGGCTGCTTGCTTCCATCCTTTCATGCATTCTTTCTTCACCCTCTAGAGACTTATCCCTGTCATTAATTGTAACCCTCCCACCCCCACCACTCCCATCCTCTGCCCACCCTTCTTTTGGGTATTGCCTGGCTAGGAGACTGGCCTTGAAGTATCATCCAGACAAGAATCCAGGGGACGCTCAAGCAGCAGAAATCTTCAAGGAGATCAACACAGCCCACTCCGTACTGAGTGACCCTAAGAAGCGGAAAATTTATGACCGGCATGGCTCATTGGGAATATATATATACGATCACTTTGGCGAGGAAGGAGTCACATACTATTTTACGATGAATAGTTGTTGGTTCAAGGTACACAATTCCTTCTGGTCCCTTAAAAATAAGGAAGGAGGGGCACCCCTCCACTCTTAGGATGGCTGATTCGCCTCTCCTAGAACAAATGCTTCTATTGTCTCATATACTGGGTGCTGGAAGAATTGAGGCGGGGTGGAACTTGAATGGAAATACACAGGAACTGCTGGATTGAAGCCATTCTTCCCCACCTTGTAGACGCTTATCCTCCTGTGTGCTCTGCTCACCTGTTGCTGTTGCTGCTGCTGCTGCTGCTTTTGCTGTGGAACACTTAAGCCACCACCTGAGGAAGCAACTAACAAAAAATATACGTCAAATGTCCAGCATCAGCCTCCAAGGTCAGGTGAGAACCACAGGCAGGGACTGGGGTGAGAGCTGAATTAGGGTTGTGGGTGAAACCCTGAACTCTCAACTGTGAACCCCCAACTCTCAAGTCAGGATTGGGGCCAAGTGAAGAAAGAGAAGAGGGTACACTTAGTTTCTGAGGGACTTGTGGCAAAAACTGACAGTTTAAATGTAATGTTCGCTTTCCATGACTGTTAAGCTTAATGAATGGGGTAAGCATTAAGGTAAGGAATGGGGTGGGAAACTGCGCCTAGAAAAGGCAATAGTTGAAGACAAGTTAGAGGATGCAGTTCTTTGCATTTACTTGAGAGAGGTAGTGTCTGAGATTATCCACTGAGGTGCGGGTTGACTGAAATTCACACCAGTGCCATCTAGTGACAGGAATACATAACTGCAAGGTAACCCTTTTCTCACCAGTGGACTAAAAAATGGGTTTCCCCGGGTGGCTCAGTGGTAAAGAATCTGCCTGCTAAGGCAGGAGACTCAGGTTGATCCCTGGGTCAGGAAGATCCCCTGGAGAAGGAAATGGCAACCCACTACAGTATTCTTGCCTGGGTAATCTCAAGGGCAGAGGAACCTGGTGGGCTACAGTCCATGGGGTCACAAAAGAGTCAGACATAACTTAGCAACTACACAACAGACTAAAAAATTGTTACTAGATGTTGACATATGTGTTTTTCAATCCATCATAGGACGCAGAGAACATTTTAGAAGAGAGGAAGATGGTTCTAGTGATGATAATTAGTAAAAGATGAAGAGTGAGGTATGAAAACTGAAATGCAGCAATAATTAAAGGGTAAGAAAAAAAATACACACTAAAAACAATTCAGCTGAGTCTTTAATGAAAGTTGTATCTTTTTTTTTTAAAAAAAAGAAAGTTGTATCTTTATAGTGTGGACTACAGGTATTGTATCCTTACCTGTAGGGGGTTTGCTTTAAATTCTGCATGATCATCCCTTCTAGTTAATAAGATGCCATCTTCTTCTGCCCTTAGATGCTGACCCAATGAGGGTGCCTTCTGCTGCCCAGTCCACTGGACTCAGTGAAGAGAGGAGCAAGTAGCCCTGTCCTAACACTGACCCTGATTTGCCCCTTCTACGTGTAAGACTCCCGTCTTCAGACACATTGATGGCCTCCATCCCAGTGAGGATGCCATCTTTGTCCTTGATGCTGTCACTGACCCTGGCCATACAGGGTCATCTAGCTGTTCTTTTTAGCTCTAGTCCCAGTTTTAACCTGTTAGAAAGCAGCCCTCCTACCCAACCCTTGTGAGGTCTTAGGCAGGGGTGACAGTCTTTTCCCGAACATTGTTTTTCCTGTGCCTTCCTTGGAAAATGAGCCAGTGTCAGCGGTAGTGTCAGCCACTTATGAAACTTCCATCAGGATCCTGAAAACCAAGCAGGATGGATCCTGTCCTGGAGCTGCTGTATCAGTGACCCGCTTTTGTTGCAACTCTGTGTGCCAGGAACTCTTCGTTCAGCCTTATTCCCAAGCAAGTACACCTTTCTGGGGGCTGGTCTCATCTTCTTCTGGTGCCCATGCCCTTGGCATTGCCAGCCTCATCCGGTACCACCATGAGACAACTCAGGAAGAGCATAAGTGCATTTGAGGCTTAGAGGTTGCTGTTCCACCTTTCAATTCTCCCTGGACTGCAGCTGCTAGCACAGCATCCATGAGCATGGGGCCTGTGGGTTGACCGAAGTTCACACAGCAGTGCCTGCCGGCTTCCATCCTTCTGGTCTCATGTTGTACAAGCTGATCACTATATGTTTTGCACTTAAAATAGGGGCATGAAAAATTCGCAGGGTCAGAACCTAGTAACTCCTCAAACTTCTCTCTCCTGACTGGGAGAAGGGCTAAGGAATGTCAGTGAATAAAAGAGCCTTTTTTAATCCAATCCCAGTGCATATGTTGGGCCCCAAAAAGACAAATCATGCCTGGGATAGAGAAGAAGAAGGAGAAAAAGGTAGAGGACCAGTGGACATATCTGAGACCAGCCTGCCTCAGGGAGCCAGAGATCAGGACGTGTGTGGAGCTGGGGCAGAGGCTTCCCAGAGCCTTGTGATGATGACTTTGTCAATGCTCTAAATTTCCCCTGGAGACCGATTCCCTCGGTGCCCAAAATAGGTCCCTGGCATCCAGGTCCTTTCTGCCCAACTCAGCTTCTCTAGATTTCCTAACAAATTAAGAGATGTCCTTGGCGTGGCTCCAGTGATGTGTTGAGGGACCAGAATCCTGTTTTCTCAGGGATACGCTCATGAGGTCGTTTCAGGCCCTGGCGCACCTGTCAGCTCCAGCCTCCTGGGCTTCTTTCCCTAGGACAGGGGGATATAAGAAAGATCTGGGCAAGAACAAAGAAGAGCCTCTCTGTCATCTCTGGTGCCCTTGTTTTGAATCATAGGATTCAGAAGAAGACGGTCAAAGTCACTGACTAAGCCTTGGAGGCAAAAACTTTCATTGTCTCTATCTATAGGTCCAGCAGGATCTCTCCTTTCACCCAGGCCATGTATGGTGCCTGTCACACGGGCCAGTTCAGATTCTGTGTCACTACCTGGAAGAGGCACCCAGGCCCAAGCATTGGGGTTGGGGGCTCACAGGAGCCCTCTGAGTGAGAGCACCTCTGTTGCCCACCTCAGCTTCCACCACAGGAGTGAAGTTCACCCCACTCTCACTCTGGGGAGTCACCCGTTCCCGAATGAGTCAGGGTCACTCGCTCGGTGACAGCTGTGGCTCGCCTTACAGGAGCTAAATTGGGAGTTGGAATGTCACACACACATGCTCCTTGTTCCCCACCCCCACGTTAAAAGCTAATCTCCTCTCTGGGGAGTGAGAGACAAACAGCACTGCCCACAGAGTGGACAAGAGGGGTTTGGGAAACAAAAGGAGAAATTTCCAGGGACAGAGCCATTCAGGGAGAGAGGAAGAGAAAAAGCTACATGTGCCTGGCCAGGGTACAGAGCAGAAACTAAAGCGAGGCAAAGTGTCTGAAAACAGCTATCTAAGGACGAGGCAAATTGTTTTGAGGAAGGGACAGGAGACATAGCAGAGCTGTTTCAGGAGTGAGCAACAGAAGGGAACACAAAGAGTCGGAAGACTGTCGAAAGTAGAAGAGGAAGGGTCCAGAGGCAGTGAGAGAAGGCCAAGACCAGGGCCAAGGCCAGGGTAGGCACAATCGCTGAGGGGATGAACTTCACGGTGGGTTTCAAGCCGCTGCTAGGGGATGCACACAGCATGGACAACCTGGAGAAGCAGCTTATTTGCCCCATCTGCCTGGAGATGTTCTCCAAACCGGTGGTGATCCTACCCTGCCAGCACAACCTGTGCCGCAAGTGCGCCAACGATGTCTTCCAGGTGGGCCGGGGCAGGGCCGGGCCGGGGCAGGGCAGGCTGGTGAGAGGCTTCTTTGTCAGGTCAGCGCCGAGCACCCAGAAGGTGATGGGAGGAAGGCGCTACGCGGTGGCTGGTGGTGGCTGTCCTGGCTGAAGGGCAGAAGGAGAGCCAGGGGTCCTAGCAGATCCCAAAGTAAGCATGAGTCAGCAGCTGCTCTGCAGGCTGGCGAGCATACAGCCTATGCATGGACAGCCCTGGGATGCTGGTCTCTACAGAGAAAAGGAGACCCGCATGGAAACTGGACAGGGAAGTGATCCTGTAACGAGGCTGTGTGACAGTCTGTGCCAGACTCTGCATTCCAACTTGGAGTTGAGATTTCAAGAACAATGTGGAAAATCTGGAGAAAATAGCAATGAGATAATGAAACATTAAAAAATGAGAAAGGTCCATGATGACAGTGAAATTATTTGTATTTAAAGCCAAAGACTGAGCGCATCCATCTTGGGGGGGTGGGCAGGCAAAGTTAGACAGTGGACAGAACACTGGGAATTCTCCCCCACCAGAGGTGACACTTGTGTCCCTCCCCAGATTGATGAGTCAAGAGACCTGCTGGTTAAAAGGGATCGAGGTCACTTAAGCAGGGAGAAGGCAGAGAATACATTTTACTTCCCCCAAATGGAACCAATTTTGGCTTATGTGTGGTCACGGAGCAAAGCATAGCTAATCAAATTCACAGATCTCATTTTAGCTCCTGGTTTCAGAACTAAAAGCAGCACGTATGAGAACGGTTTATATAAATGGACTTTCTTTCTTGCCCCATGCCCTGGTATAGGTTCTAGTAATCTCTAAAACGGAACAAAGATCAGGGAGAGTGAGGGATAAAGGCACACACACACACACAAACACACGTGTCCTTACCAATGAAGTAAAAGCTCAGAATAGACCAGAGCTGGCTGACTTAGTAGGCATGGCAGCGATAAGGAACATCATGAGCACGCAGTCTTCATCTGTATCAGAAATTATGAGGAAACGTGTTGAACACAGTGATTTTTAACTTAACCAAGAGAATGGTCCCCTTTTAAGTTCTTTGGGGGCAGCATGTTTGGGGGAAAATAATTGGCTGGCTGATTCAGGTCATTCTACAGCTGTGCCCACAACGTACCCTTTGTTGTCTGCTGTCTTCCCTGAGCTCCATGGTCTCTCCTGCCATCTTCCCATCGAGGCCTTTTGCCATCTCCTATTCCTCTAAGTCTCCAAACCTGTCATTATTTGGCTCCAGAGAACCTCAGGCCAGTGGTTTTCCCTCTCTGGAGTCTGATCATCCCGGGCATTCAGTCATGTACAACCCACCATCTTGGGTTTTTCCTTGGTCTGATTAACTCTGAACATCCTTCAGGTTGAGATGCCAAGGGGGGAATGACAGAAGGTTTTGCCATCCCGTCTCATGAATTTGTAGTTAAACATTCTTTCATTAGAGCCTGAAATATGTGAAAGCAAACTTTTGAAAGTGAAGGTAACATGTTCTATAAAAAAAAAGAGTGGTCAGAATATTAAAGTGCATGGCACACAGTATCACTGGGCAGAGGGACGCAGGGAGGGTCCTATATATGGAGACTAGAAGATGTTCATCCCTGAGTCGGGAAGATCCCCTGGAAGAGGGCATGGCAACCCACTCCAGTATTCTTGCCTGGAAAATCCCATGGACAGAGGAGCCTGGCAGGCTACAGTCCACAGGGTTGCAAGAGTCAGACATGACTTAGCAACTAAACCACCCCCAGAAGATGTTCCAAGTCAGTCTTCTGTATCCAGACACACTGTTTTGGTTCCCTGAAGGTCTGGAATACTGATCTGAGCCCAGAGAGACTTGGGAATTGTTTGGGTCGATCCCTGTGAAGAATATTTGGGAGATAACATGATTCCCAGGGCTTCGGGATGGTTCTGTGGATCTGGACTAATGTGTATCTTTTGAAGTACAGGGCACCCCTAGCCCTCCAAAGAGAGAAGAGTGAAGCAGGTCATTTCCTTGCTGCTTTATTTGGGATGGCCTGGTGGGAGGCTGACCCAGTTTTTTGGCTGCACTTATGTATATACATCTCAGCAGACCTCCCTCTGAAAGATGAGCATATTTAGTTTTTTCACACATTGCCTCCACATTTTGACAACTCTAGGCATAATCAGATACTGTTTTCTAAGTATGGGGACGAGAATAGGACTTCTATATCTTGAAACTACTTAGGAAGAACACACTTAGAACATTGCCTAGAAAGTTAATAGGACTTAGAAAAGTGATACCAGTATATTACACACCCACACACATATTTTTTTCAAACACTATAAGAATTTATATTATGAAAAGTGAATCTTCACCTTCGGCCCTCTCTAATTCCCTTCTCCAGATGGAAGTAGCCATTACCAACTTTCTTGGGTACCCTTGCAGAAATTTTCCACGGTTAGGTACACATTTTTTTGTGTGTGTGTGTGTGTGTGTATGCACATATTTAAGCTAAATTTATCCTATATCTGCCTTGGTTTACTCTCTTGGCTGTTGTTCCATAGCCACACATTCCAATATGCATCTTCCTTTTTAATGGCTATATAGTGGTCCATTGTTATGACTGAGTCACAGTCTATTTTACCCATACTCTGAAACATTTAGATGATGCTCCGTGTTTTGCTGTCCTAAAAAACTACTGTGATGGACAACAAAAAAGAATTTGGGAGCAGAAACTTCTCTGGTGGTTCAGTGGCTAAGACTCTGCACTCCCAATGCAAGGGGTCTGCATTTGATCCCTGGTCAGGGAACAAGATCCCACATGCCCCAACTAAGACCCAGCACAACCAAATAATTTTAAAAATACTAAAAAAATAATTTTGAGGGATTGTGACCTTAAAACATCAGGTTATAAGAACTGACTCATTTGAAAAGACCCCGAAGCTGGGCAAGGTTGAAGGCGGAAAGAGACGGGGATGACAGAGGATGAGATGGTTGGATGGCATCACCGACTCAATGGACATGAGTTTGAGTCAACTCCAGAAGTTGGTGCTGGACAGGGAGGCCTGGCATGCTGCAGTCCATGGGATCGCAAAGAGTCGGATGCAACTGAGCGACTGAACTGAACATCAGGTTAACAAAAGAGTCAGGAAACAAAATTTTAAATATTAAAATATTTCTTTGAGGTAATTACTTGCAAGTCCAGTGGTTAGGACTCCACTCTTTCACTATTGAGGGCCTGGATTCAATCCCTGGTTGGGGAATTAAGATCCCATGGCGGGACCAAAAAAAAAAAAAAATTTCATTGAAAATGTTGAACAGTATTAAAGGTTTGGGAGGAAATTATCCATAATCCCACCTTCCCCAATGCAATTGTTTTCATGTTTGCATATTATGCTTGTCTCTATACATATTTTTACATAGTTGCCATCACAATTTAACTCATTTTCTTTAGAGCTGTGATACAGTTCTCTTTCTCTCTCCCTCTCTCTCTGAATTTAAACAGAATAAAACACCAAAACACCACATTAACCCCCTTTAATTTCTCTCTTTCTCTTTCCCCACACTTGCACCCACTCAGCTACCAAGCATTTTGGCTAGGGGAAAGCTGTCGGTGTGGGAAATTGACACAAACATCTTCCCATGTGTTTCTGAATTTGTAAACTCTATTCCTTCCTAAACTGCTTTAAAACAGCCTGTGGTTTATTTTTATACCTGCCCCCGCTTCACTGTGGGCACTTGTTTATGAGCTGCAACCTGTTGTAATTTAACAGACAACCAGAAGGCCTTGTGAGAAGGTTGTTCAGAAACAGCTTTTCTGGAGGGTGTCCATTTAGGGAGAGAGTTACAGAGATGGGAATAGCAAGAAAGGGGCCTCCTTCTGTCATAAAGGGCAAACTGGGAAAGAAATGACCTCTTTTATATAATCCCAAATTCAAGTTCCTTTTTTCTTTCTTTCTTTTTTTTTTTTTTTAGTATTTAGGTTGCTTTGGGTCTTAGTTGTAGCCTGTGAGATCTTTCATTGTGGTGCACAGGCTCCCCAGTAGTGGTGTGCAGGCTCAGTGGTGTGGTCTGCAGGGCTTAATTGCTCTATGGCATGTGGGATCTTAGTTCCCCGACCAGGGATCAAACCCTTGATTCCTGCATTGCAAGGCGGATTCTTAACCACTGGACCACCAGGGAAGTCCCCCAAATTCCAGTTCTTTAGTCTAATTGTTAGGGCTGCTGTCATCAAGTACAGGCCAGCTAATGAAAACCCTACACAGCCTTCCTCTTCAGCCACTTCCACCTGCTGCTGAGGGCCCTGAGATGTCCCCTCCCCAGCCCAGACTTGGGCAGGTCTCTTTTATGGGAAACTGGTTGATTGAAATTTTATGAACTATGTTAATCTTGTAGCAGGCTTAGGATCTTATTTGAGGGAAGAAACTGGATTTACTGGGAAATAAAATCATAAACCGAGACTCAGCACCCCTGGGCTATAGTCCTACCAGTTTCTTCCTTAATTGGCCATGACTGTAAAGCAGGTTGTTTCACCTCTTCAAGCCTATTTACACACACATGGATAAAGAGGAGCTTTAAATTGCTTGTAATTCTCATAATCCAATTTCACAAATTGAAGAAACATCATCATGTATTTCCATTCTTTCCGGACTTTGCACGCAGTTACTAGTGTCCTATCTTGGCTCACTCTTTTTTGTTGTTGTTGTTTTGTTTCTTGTTTTTCCTGGCTGCACCATTGGCACGTGGGATCTAAGTTCCCCGATCAGGGATCAAACCCACTCCCCCTGTATTGGCAGCATGGCGTCTTAACTGCTGGACCGAGTAGGGAAGTCCGATGGCTCACTCTCCTGCTTATCAGGCCTCTTCTGAGCCAGCCTCCTTTCACAAATCCCTGTGTAACGCTCACTGCTAGGCTCTGCTGGGCAGAGTAAGCCCACCCATCAAAACCCCTCCCCCACCCACAACTCAGCTTTTGCTGACAATGCCTGGATTCTTCTAAAGGTTTTCAGCTTGCTTCAAATGTGTGGTC